ATCTTCCTTATATTTGAGGTTTTAAATTTCAAAATACGTAGAAATAAAAAATCGATACAAAAATTCATCGGCAGTCCGCGTCTTTTTTCCTAGGCTTACTTTTTTAATTTTTTACATTTGGCAATAGTCAGTGGCCATTCCAGGATAATACTCGGAATTCGACATTAGTATTCGTTGTTTCGTTTAAAAATAACGACCGAAAATCCTGTGTTTCTGTAGATAATAATATTAAAGCGACTGCAATAATTTTGATGAAACATGTCATAAGTTTTCTCCTTGAAGCCATTTAAATTCATATATATATATATATATATATATATATATATATATATATATATATATATATACATATTTTCATTTTATGAACTGAATTTGTGAGAAGTAAATGGTGGTGCCTGCAGTTTAAGTTTTAACATAAAACAGCAATGATTTTTTACTGTTATTTTTACTATTTATATGTATTTCTCTTCACCTCAGGTTGTGCTTTTTCTTTCATGTTTATATAAGTTTATATTTTATACTTTTTGTCTCACTGTGTAGCAATATGAGTAAGTACGTATATATAGTTCCTTTTTTACCTTTATACCACAATTATTCCTGAGATTTTATTTTATCTTAGCGTTTGCTTATTATTTTATGAATCACTGTAAATATTATTACATTTTGTATTAATTTATGTTTCTATTAGATAGCTATTATTTATAAATTGTGCAGTTATGTATATATAGATATGTAATTTCTTTTCTGTTTTTTTTTTCTTTTTTTTTTATCATAATAATAAGTAAATTTGGAGAAGATTGTATGTTCATTTATATATGTATGTATGTGTATGTATGTATATATATGTTTATGTTTGTGTATGTAAATATATGTGCGTGTGTTTATATATGTGTATATTTTTTTTTTTTTGTTTATTTCTTAGTGGTTACATACTACTTTTTAAATAATGTATATTACGTTAGAATTTTTGTAAGTTAGTTTTTGGCCAGATCGGTATTTTATTTTGTATTAATTCATCTTTGTTATTCTAAGGGGACTTAGTCCCAGAATAAAGTTCTATTTTCTATTCTATTCTATTCTGTTCTATTCTACATATAAATTCAATCAAAAAAGTTACAGGAAATGCAGTTTTATTTTTCGAGGAATTCAAAAATATCCTTTTCATTCCATTCATAAATATATATACTTGTTCTAAAGTTAATACAATTCCCTACAAGAAAAAAAATCGTTGATATGGGATTTAGGAATGATATCGCAATAAATCTGTTCAATGTTTACTAACTATATATGTAATGAACTTTTTTTCCAATGCTGTTAAAAAATCCGTATGAGGAATGTCGTGTGTGGAAACACGCCACACGTGTTAAATGAATAACTACTTATTAAGAAATAACAATCCACTGAGTAATACTTTGCAACGTTTATAACATATAACAAAGGAATAACTATTTTTATTCCATTCTTTCCTGAAAGCACCATTAGACTTACATACCATATTTTTATTTTTTTAAGTAGGCACAGCTATAGAAAATGAAAAAAAAAGTGTATCTTGTTTATATGCGATCAGTAATATAAAACTATTAGTCCGTGGTACTGACTCCTTTTTATAGAATTATTAACATTCGCCTGTAACTTCGTAAATAGTTTCATCTCATCGTAACCTACAACTATTTTATTTACGAAAACTCTTGAATTTGGGGCGTTTTCAATCTGGAGAGAGAAAAACTTTGTCTAATTTAATTAAGTACTCAAAACTCGTAAATACCAATTTGCTTAATAATTGGTATACAATAATTAATAATTGATGGATTGTAAGATAATTTGATCACCAAATCGAGAAAAAAAGGTAGGCTTCAAAAATATTGAGCCATTTGGCGTGACCTACACCCCCAAATTTTCAAAATAACTAGGATATATAGGACAAACGGCCCAATATTTTTGTAGGGGACCTTTTTTTATCGATTTTGTGAACAAAGTATCATACAATCCAAGTAGAAAGCAAATGGGTATTTACGAGTTTTTAGTATTTTAGTATCTAATTAAATAGACAAAGTTTGCCTCGCTCCAGTTTGAAAAAGCCCCAATTCCAAGAATTTTCGTAAATAAAATAGTTGTTGGTTACGATGAGATGAAACTATTTACGAGGTTTCAGACGGATGTTAATAATTCGATAAAAAAGGGGTCTGTACCACGGAATATATAGCGTTCTATTGATTATGCTGTATTCCACCTAGGATGATTAACATATTCTAATAGTTTGTGTTGAAATAATAATTAATAATTTTAAATTTAAATTTTGCTTACACTTTTTTTGGAAATTCTAACATGTTTTAAATATTTAAGGCTATACGGGGTTTTCCCGGGCCAGAGGGCGAGGGCGGGGATTTAAAAGAGTCCTTCCGACACCGAGACGCGAACTTGTGAATATTTTTATCGGTTATCTATGTATCAGGTTGTCGGGCAAAGGCTGTGCTTTGCACTCACGTTAGCCCGTTCGGCCATCCCGACCCTTACTATATTAGTAATATTTTGTACTTTCAAATTTATTGTTAAACTTCATCTAATGTAATATAAATATTGTGTAAGGGCTAAAATGACCCGTAAGAGGTTGAGGAGCGACTCATTGTAATAAATAAAATTTATTATAATGAGTAACCACGACGAGTAATATTTCTACGGAGATAAACTGGAGCTAAAATATAGAAAACGGATATAATACTGGTTACTAATTTAAATATGAAGTTCTATTATTTCATTTTTTTTTAATTACCTAATAAAATGGTAAAGATGTCATTAATTAGCTAATTAAATATATTTTTAAAGTTTGATAATAAAAATTAGAGAACACTTTCGAAACTGGGACTAGAAAATTAACTGGAACAAGAGGATGCCCATAAAATGCGTTGATCTATACTCACTGCCTTACTTGAATTAAGCCAGGGTGGGCCATAGACAACCCACTTAAACTGCAATCAGCTAACACACTCTATATTTCGGTCCAGGTGCAATATCTTTATTTTACTCTATGTCTAACATTAATACAGCAGCCAAATAAGACTTTTGCGGGTTTTTTAAACACTGCTTCTCAAGTGGGCCAAATTCGTTCCTAACGTCCTATAAAGAAAATTTTATTTTATTTTTTATTTATTGAGTATTAATACAATCTGCCACACTGGAGGACATTGGTACTAGGGCTATAGTATTCATTCACACAATATGTACATAAGAAAGGAAAAAAAAAAAAAAAAAAATATATATATATATATATATATATATATATATATATATATATAAATAAAAAGATAAAGTAAAATAACAGATTAGCCGAATAATAGCAAAATAAATAAAACACATTCACACCTATGTACAATATTTACATTGGCCCAGGGGACTCAGAATCAAGCTTTGTCCCCCAATTGTGGAAGCCAAAGCAGGACTCCAGGAGATCCCAGTGCTTCTCTCCCAGCCGCCTCACTGGTATAGAAAGCCAGTGGAGACTGATAATAAAGAAAATTATGGTTATTTCTTTACCATCAATAATTTTATTTTACTGCGCCTAAATGACTGTGAAAAAGTTAATTGTACAATTCTCCTACAATTTTCTGCTCTTCATTACGTTCTTAATATTATAATTTATTCGTACCATATTATAATTTTATCTCCGCTTCTTTGGTCACATTTCAATTACATAACAGTATGTATTGTTTTCCTTATTACCTGGAGTGGGATGAGACAGAGCTCTTTTTCTGGATAAGCAGATAAGTATTTATTCAGTAATATTCGTGGGCCGGCAATGGAATCGGTAGACTCTCTAGGGGTGGTTCGGTCTTTATATTGTGGGTTATTTGCTACCTGATTAATAAATAAATAATAATAAAAAAACGCTGCAAATTATTTCACCTCGGTTTGTTATTTTCCAACAATTATACATCTAAACTAATATTACCTTTCTAGTGGCAAATTAAAAGAAATAAAAAGTTAATTCCAATTATTTGCCTAATATTATTTTTTTCATCGTTAGTAATTTGATAAAAAAAATAGCATCACTTCAGTAACACATTAAAAACTCAAAATCTAAAACAGTGGAACATTTGCAGTGGAAGTTAAAAAAATATAGAGACCATACCTTTGCACCTAATTGCTCGATTTTAACTTCTTTTTTTTTGATATTTTTATTATAATATATTTAATGGTAAACTTATCAGTGGTTTCGGAGAAAATGCGGGGACAGCGGACGGACAAAAACATTTTTATTAGTTTTTCGAATTCTACGTATCTCGAAACGTAAAAGTTCAAAATTTGAGAGGAGGTTAAGTTTTTGAATTTTTTGTTCGATTACAATGGTTCATTATTGAAAATAATAAACCAAAATATTTAAAAGTCGCGATATCTTCACTAGTAATGCTATAATTTCGATGAAACTTTCTCCGTTTTTTAAGAAATTTGAATACCTTTGAAACATCTTATCACAATATCGACAAAAAGGTGTATAACTTTTTGAGTTATTCGGAATCTAATTTTACCATCCTCGTAAACTTCTTTCTAGTTTCTTATCGTTGTAGTATGTTATATAGATAAATTTAAAGGGCATCAGGAAGAAGACTTTCGCCAAGTTTCATTGAAAACGGTACATTCGTTTAGGCGCTACAGTCTATAGCAACGCAGGTTTTTCGGCCCATATTTTGAAAGTAAAAGGCGGATAGTAATGTCGATGAAAGAGGATCATCATCGGGTGACCTCTGATCTTAAATCCAAATTTGTAAAAAATCGGTCTAGTAGTATCGTATAAAATTCGCTGACGGACAAAACATTTTTAATTTGTTTTTCGAATTCTACGTATCCTGGAAAGAAAACCTCAAATTTTGAGAGGAGGTTAAGTTTATGAATTATTTGTTCGATTACAATGGTTCATAACTGAAAATAATAAACCAAAAATTGAATTAAAGTTTTTAAAATATTTCAAATTATTATTAAACAGCATAAAAAAATTTCTTTTTCAGGATCAGAAGACATTCTGACGAGACGAGATCACTGCCGGAGTCATTGCAGAAAAGGAGGGTAAGTAGGAGATATAGATTAAGCAATATTTCCCGGCTGGTTCACCTTGAGGGTCTCCTCATGGTATGCTCGTAGCATCATCGTCTGATTTATATTTATTTTATTCAATATTATAGAAAACAGCAAGATAAAATGTTTATTTTTAGCTATGCTATTCGTTTTAAGACAACGTTAAAAATGTAATAAGCAAATAAACTATAGATAGTGAAAACTATAACTATCTAATTATAATTAGTTGGCTGTGTAAGAACATAACATCAATTTGAAATCACAATAATAAATACAAATTTACATGAAGATAAATTAGTTCAATTAAGATTGGTTTATATCTTTTGTCAATATAGCTACATTCTAGGTCCTAAAAAGAAAAGTATAGTACTTTTTATAATATAAAGAATCAAACTGACATATTTTTATTATTTGTTTTGAGGGAACCCCATACCCATTCTATTTTTGTATTATAAACATTACTATCCTTATGGTAATACAATATTTTTCTTTGTTATGCTACATTATGAATATTATAAAAGAGTTAAGTATAACTTACAAATCACGATTTGTAAAAAAATAAACAATTAAAATAATGCATGATAATTATCAACATATATATAAAATGCAAATAAGATAATTACCAACATCAATATAAAATCTTAAATTGTCAATAAAGCACACAAACAATAACAAAACAATAAATACATTTTATCTTTTAAATATTAATGTCAAAATTAAATTAACAGTTTATTTACATATACAAAGGAAACAAGGCCGGAGGAAATTACATGCCGAAATCCAATCTACATTTTCGCTAAAAGACATCCGTGTATGCAGACGGCACAGTAATTATAACAAAGACACAAAAATCAACATACGCCTCACATCCTACGACAGTGTTAAACAAAATTACATGTGTGGTTTAAACTCTGTAAAATCATACTAAAGCGAGATAGATCACAGTACATCAGGTTTACTCTTCGACACGAAACACGCCCTCCAGTTTTCTTCCATTCTCCAGTTCTAAAGATTGCACGGCCAAACACTGTTCACTGTCTTGGACTGGCTTTTGACCGAAAAATGAAATGGGGTTCACATATCAAGATAAAATGAAAAACATTAAATAAAATACTAAGATTTCTAAGTTCACTTCTAGGTAAACACTCAAAACTAAAACTTGGGTACAAATTGAACACATATATTTTTACTTACTAAAGCCTATTTGGACTCAGGGGTGTCCAGAAGGGATTTCATGGCGCAATTTGCGCAATTAAAGTTTTTGAGGGGGCACATTTTGACTGTATTCTGAACTTTTGAGGGGGAACATTTTGATGGAGTTATCAATTTCCGGAGTGAAAAGTTTCAAGATAGAGAACGGGGGGGGGGGGGGAGGACATGGACCAGACCACAGCAAGTGTAATTGTTTATGATCTATGATTTTTCTAATCCTACTTTCGCTTGCACTGTTTTTAAAAAGAGAAGAGTAATTCAATTTTTGGAAAGGAGGTGGGAGAGGATTGAACTTTATGCATGAATATTTATGCATGGTAAATATTTGTAACAGCTGGAAATGGAAAGACTCATATTAACAAACTTCAAACCTTTACACGAAAAACATTCAGGACAATCACAAAAGCACCTTCGTACGTTAGCAAGATAACTTTACACACTGACCTTCCCATGCTAAGACTGTTAATGAACACATAGGACCCCGTTACAAACGATTCCATGACAAATTACCAGCACACCCTAACATACTCAATAAACGGCATGGCTAGTGTTTCCCCAGAATCGGTCTCTTGCATTTTGCAAGACCAAGACCAAGACTGTTAAAAAAAATTCTTGATTGATTTTTTGAATCAAAATTATGGCGAAATATTCATTAATACTTGACAATTTTAGTTTACTACTATATGTAAAGAAATGGTATAACCAATATACTTTTGTATTTAACTCTTCTAATTTTTCATTCGGGCTCAGTTGAATTCTCCTATCTAAAAAATTACAGTAATATCTCTATAGTAATAAGCTAAGAGGTAACTGCAAAACTGTTATAAGACTCTTGCGCAAGACCAAAACTTGTCTTGGTCTCGCTTTTGGGCAACCCAAGTGAGAATAATAGCAATAAGCAATGTCTCATCCAGTTTCTAAGTATGTGAATGAAGAACATGGCTGAGGAATTGTGATTTCTTCAGTCAGTGTCCAAGAGGTACTGCTCTTCCTTTAATGGCTTGAAGAGGCTCAGTATTAACAGTTGATTGATCCAAATGTGTCGTTTCCTATGACTCCGTCCTTCTGTTGTAGCATCCGCTTGCGTCGCAGATTCCACCAGAAAAAAACTAAACTTTTTATGGTACAAATGAAATCTATAATGTGTTCTAGGGCAAAGAGTCGCAAAAATATACTCAAACAAATTCAATATTAATTTTATTTGCACTGCAGTATTTTCATTAACATAGAGAGTTGAAAATATTTTTATTGATTAACGTTACATGCTGTCTCGATTAAGGCCAATGGTTATAGTGAGAAATGATATTATTCACACATTATTAGTATAATATAAAATTTAAATAATAACATAATTTAAAAAAAGGGGGGCTTGCGTGTAACTTGAATTGAAATTCTATCGCATTAAGGTAGATTATACTATTAAATAATAAATAAATAAATTATACCTTTATCTAGATACAACAGTGTTGTTGCATTATCAAGTTGTTCTTTTAACTTTTTATTTATTTTTTTAATTTATTCACTATTATTTAAATTGAATTTCTAAATTGAAATAAGCTTATTACTTATTTTTATTCATAGTCATTGTGTTCAATCATCCTAAAAAGTAAAGTGTCTTAACAATTGTGAAACATAAATATTCGGCACGTAATATAATGAAAATATTATGTAACAGGTTTACATTGTTATTTATATAAACTTATTCAATTTTGGCACATTTCAATAATATTCTAACTGAGAAAAGATACTTTGCACTGAAAAAAACCCACTGCGAATAAACGTTTAAAACATTACATTTAAAGTAAATTGTTACGGTATTAATTCGTGACAATGAATTAAATTATCTGATAGTATCCATCTGACATGAAATGATCTGATAATTTTGAGCGAAGTTATGCAGTATAAATAATTGTTTACTAAATTATAAACGTGAAGTAAATAGAATAAAAAAATATTGCTTCTGTAAGTTGTTGTAGCCCTTCCAAAAACTATGCCATTGGGCGGAAATGGCCACTTATGGAATTTTGCTTGATCCAAATTCTTGCGCAGGGCATTTTTTTTTGTTTCGCAGTAATGTCTGAGATAACTTAAGTTATTTTTTCGACCTCTAAAAACTATGAATTTAGCTGAATGATCATTAGAAACAAGTATAAAATCATTTAACCTACAAAAAAATAAATTAATAACATAAACATCTTTTTCAAAGACTTAACTGGTTTCTTTCAATTCTTCATAGGAATGCTTGTAATTTACTTTCCCTCTTAACATTGGCTCTTACCATTATTTCTTTTCCATCCAGCGATGACACAGCTATTAGTTTATTTCTACAGTCTATTTAATTCTGCTTCTGCATTTTAAGCTCTACTTAACTGGGACATCTGTAAACGCCCGAGCAATCAAGAATTGTTTTTTTGTTCTGGTTTTAGTTTTACTTTATATTACATTACTTGCTGTTTTTTCCGCTAGCGTAAATACCCTATCCGTAAAAGATTGTAGGCAAATAACTCACGATGATAGTAGTAAGTTGAGACAGAACAAACCACAGTTTTAATAAGTTGTCCATTACGATAATAATCTTTCGTTCGGCAATGCATATTCCAGAGTGCAAATACCTTGTTCAAAGGAAAATGGAGTCGTGTTTTTTTCGGATTTTCTAAGCATTCAAGGTCTAAGAGTCAATTAAAGGACTCTAAAGTTAGGATTGTCATTGGTTTCTTGGTTAATATATATTTTAAGCCACGTCACTGGTACTCGTATTAATGACAAATGACAGCTTAACTTAACTTAACAGAGGCGGTTAAACAATTTTTTTTTCTGTTTGCATAACAAACTATGTACGAGTAGATGTTTTGCGCCTTAACAAGAAGGCTCCACCTCTGTCTATCTTGGGCTATTTCTTTCCAGTTACCTACACGCAGGTCTATTGCATCTTTATTGATTCTATCTATCCATCTGCTTTTTGGCCTTCCACGTGGTATTTTTCCTTCTATTGAGGTAATCATCCTTCCTACCGCCGTAAGTATTTTCTGGTATCCTTACTCTTCCAAGTCATTCACTCCCGCCGTCCTTCATACATCCTCGAGCTCCTTCAATTTAAATCCTCTGTCCACTCCCGCAATACCCGGTCCCGGTCTACAGATTTATATATAATGGCCCACCGAACCGCTGCTTTCAATAAATCTTTTATTATTCGATCCTCATCCTTATGGAACTCCATCCCTCCCGACATCCGTCGCTCCAATACTCTCCCTACTTTCAAATCCCGCCCATTCAATCACTTTCTTTCCTTCCAGTCCCTCCAAAATTGTAAATAGAAACTTCTGTAAATTTGTATATATATTATTAGTTTATTTTCAATTATTTTCATCTCATTATTCTTTCATTTATTTATTTTTTACTTTCACTTACGTATAAATGTAATATATAATATGGGTAAGTATTGCTATCGTGAAAATTTTTTCTTAATCGATTTAATCTAAAAGATAACTTTTTTTTTTATTCTTTATTATATCTATTAGTTAACTTTCTAAATATATGTATATATATCTGAGGCTCAAAAGCCCACATTTCTGTCCTTGTTAATTATTCTAAAGGGATTCGTCCCAGAATAAATAAAAGATTATTATTATTATTCATTGTTACGCAGAGTCTTCCAGATGGATTGCTACGAGCTACATGCCTCACCCATCTTAATCTCCGTGCTTTCATATCATGATATATTGATTGACCAGTTTCTATACGGAGTTATTTATTGGTCTTTCTTCTCCATGTGTTACTAC